AGTAAAGATAATCCTGCTTGAGATATTGTTGGATACCGAACACTAAATAAGCTACTTATATGGGCCCAGTGGAGCCAAATTTCATCCCAACCCTGATGCCTGGTCATGTTCGGTATCCAAATGGTAGTGTGAGACTTTGACCTAACTTGAAACATTTTTTTCAGAAAGATTAATTTTTTTAAAATATGGAAAAAAAATTTGCTCATTAACAAAAACATATAATTAACATAATTTATAAAATTAATCATTTTTTAAAATTATATATATTTACGCCCTAGTGAGGGCGTTAAAATTATATATTTATAAATTATTCCTTGTTTTTACATAATATTAAGTTAAAAAATAAATTTAAAATTTTAAAACAGGTAAAAAAGGTTTAAATCATTAAAAAGATTCATAACAATCATAACATATATACACGATTAGTATGAAAAATAATGATATCAAATTAAACAATTAGTTTCACAAAAATAATTTTAAGAAAATACTACTTGTGGTCCTTAATATAAAATATCGTTTGAGTTTTATTTTGATCCTAAACATAAGATTTCAATTTACTTTGTCTCTCATATTTATGTATTTTTTTCAAAGATAGTCCTTCTAATAATGATAGTTCTAACCAATACACTTAATTAACAAAGATATTTTAGAAAAAACAACACTTATTTATTTCAAATAAATAACTTAACTTATTTTTTTAATCTTTTTAAATTAGTCAATTAATTTTTATAATTAGAATATGTTCAAACAGAAGGTAGCACATGTTCGAACTGAGCAGGTTTAACCGTAACTCCATGCCCGGTCCAAACTGTTCAAATGGCTTGAGCATGATAGGGTTATGGGCTTATAGCGGTGGGCATCAACAAGATTCACGTATTATTGTATGCATGCCTTGAGTCAAACTAAAATAACTGAATGTTTAATTTAAAAGTTAAAAATAGTTATTTACAATACAAACCGCGGGTGAAAATTTTTTAATTTGTTCTGATGTAATTGTTAAAAAAATACATTAAATATATAAGTTTGAAAATCCAGTTTTTTTCCCTTTAATTTGCATAAAAATGGCAAAAAAAAAAGGGGAAAGAATATCCCGCAAGAATCGGTCAATTGATTGACAATATTTATGTAAGTTTTATTCAATCCCTTTCTCTGCATTAATGCATGCAAAATTAGAATATATAAAATTAAAGGCAGGATCCAAAAAATAGGAAAACTGTTCACCAAATTAGGAAACAGACAAACACCTTCACGCCCAAAAAAGCTATAAAAGCATCCCTAGCCCTTCCACAACGTTTCAGGCTGCATTTATTCTTCTCGGTTCCTAAGGCGTACGTGTCTGGTAAAACCAAAACTTCTTTTTTGATTTCATTATCACAAAAGAAGTTCCTCTTCCGTTTTACCAATCCGCCATGGAGATGAAGAAGCTTGCCCTCGCCGTCGTTCTCGCTGCCGCTTCCATCACCGCCGTAGTTGCCGAATCTGAGGTTCCAGCTCCGGCTCCTGGGCCTGCCAGCGGCGCCACCGCTCTCGGCTCCTTCGTCGGTGCCTCCGTCCTCTCCTTTGTCGCCGCCATGTACATGTAGATCTGAGCGACGGACTTATATTTATGATATATAGTTATTTGCGTTGAGGAGGAGAAGAAGGAAATTATGTGGCAACATGAATGGCGAGAGGAGGAGGTAGGATCTGAGATTTCGCTTAAATCTCTGGTTCGACTTCTTGGTTTTCTGCTTTTTGTTTGGTTTGGTGGGTGCGATGTTCTTTCTTTTCTTTCTTGTAATAGAGTGCGCTTGAAAGGGTTTGTAATGGACTGATCTAATGCAACTCTAATAAAATTTTCTATGATTATTATACATATGGCGTTTTTCTGTTACTTCAAGCTTTTGTCTCCTTCCATTTATGTGTGTGTGTGTGCACAATCATATTCCTTCAAGCTTTTTCTATATTCCTTGAATTTTCATTCTTTTGTCAAAAAGAGTCATTAATACAAGCGCTTAGTGGTGTAGATGAACCCGAGAAATTGACAGAAGAGAGACCAGTTCATAAGTATGGGTCTTTATATCCAAGAAAAACTATTTCTTTTGAAGAAGTGGAATAGGTTTTCGTTGTATCTGCCACCAAATATAAATGAAGAGGATGATTTGTGCCGAACCATAAGAGAAAACATCTTCAAATGTGTCATCATAGCTGAAAAACACCTTACTCACCTGAAAAGGCGAAAACCATAAGCTTCAAGAGGAACAACAAACCAGCATAGCTCAGCTGGTAAATCCTTGATTGGAGACTTATTTCCCCTTAAGCATGGTATTGCCCAACCTGGGTAAGCCGGTTAGACCACTGCACCTTCAATTTCATATATTTTTATCCTATTATTGAGTCTGAAAATTTTGTTGGATTATGTGTAATTCATACGTGAAGGTATGGATTGACCATGATCCAGTTTTTAGGGCCTTGCCTATCAGACCAGCTAGATTATAATTACTACAGTTTTTAGTTCTCAACTTATAAATGCGCCCAAGTTTAACCCAAAGGATTATTAAATCAAGCTATGATGAGAATTTAGACTGGCGTCCAGTTGGGTGCAATAGGAAGGGTTTGTTGTGACTGAGGAACCTTCAAGAGATTATCCATTGCTGACAAGTGACAAGCTCCAAGCTACGGGCTTCTGAAGAAAAGTTGGCCCAAAAAGAACTTGGGAGAGTTTTTTGGGTCAAATCCGTATTTCTTTACGGTGCCGAGAAGCCTCAAGGGCCGAACTTGCCAATATCTACTTCCTAGCTGAACCAATTTTAGATAAACACCTTAAATTTATTATATCTGGATCATTTATATTTTATTTAGAGGTTTTATATTTAATTTTTTTATTTATTTAAAATAATTATTTTAATATGCATAAAATTTAAAATAAAGATCATTTCTTAACTATCATTTTTTTGAAAAAATAGTTTTTCTATCTCAAAATAATTAATTAAAAATTTTAAATCTAAACCGTTCAAATAAGATATAAACGGTCCAAATCTGATAAATTTAAGATGTTCATCACAGTGATGATGACCGAAACTGGTTTCCTTTCCCAACATGTTTCCCTAAGGAAATCCCAATTCAATGCCATGTCTATTGCTATTAACTAACTACTTCTAATGCATTGCATATTGTGTTTATCACATGAGTGTGTCAAAAGGAGAGAGTCCACATCCAAAAAAATCATCTCATCTAGCATACTACTGCCACCTATAAATAAGTAGTCTCTAGTGTTAATCTAAGTATATCAAGCTCTTGAATTTTCGCACTCTTTTTTTTTTTGTTTTCATCTACTCTTCCATTTAGTTATATTTTATTTTAAAATAGGGTGAAGATAGTTTTTTTTCATGTGCATTCAGTACTCTGATCTTTTTTATAATGGGTCCAGTATTCTGATGTTAATTTTTCTGTGCATCCAGCACCCTAGATGTAACCAGAAAATAGGTCTATAAACATGCCACTAAAACCACCTCCCCCCCAAACGATTAATTCTCGAGAGATTCAAGCCAGTGCCACCTATAAATAAGTAGTCTCTGGTGCTAATCTAAGTATACTAAGCTCTCAAGTTATCGCAACCTTCTTTATTTTCATCTACTTTTCTCTTCTGTTTAGTTATATTTTATTTTAAAAAATGATTTGAATTTTAAAACGATAAGTAAGTCATGTTAACAACTCTTGTAATGATTTTAATTATTCTTATAATAATTTTGACAAGTCAAAATATGTCAAAATTACTTATTTGTCATTTTAAAATTTAATAAATATTTTTACGTCATTTTTCCTTTTATTTTTGTTCTTCTATTATTCCCTACTTCTCATAGAGAGCGTCTATGGGCATGAGTTGGAACAAGTTCACTTTTGTTCTTTTTTTTTTTTGGGGTGTTTTCAGGAGATTTTTTCCAGCATTGCACATGAATGACTTCTGGAAATTACGCATCTTGTCCCTTGAACCTGCCGTCAATAAACGCACTTCTGCTAACAAGCAACGGTGGAGTCAGGATTTAATTATAAGAAGGCTGCGATTGAAAATCATATATGAGTGTCTCTAAGGGTACGTTTGGGATCACGTTGGCCCCCCAAACGTGCGTCCCAATCTGACTTTTGGGGTGGCTGTGATTTTAGGTGTTTAGATCTGCGATTATCCAATCTGACTTGTGAGGCTTAAATGGACTTCTGAGAGAAGCTCATACAAGGAGCTTTTTTTTCGGATGCGCAGCTAGGGTTGAGAAACCGTTGGAGTGTGTTAATTTTTTTACCTAACTGACCCTCTGCATGTTTTTTCTCTCACTTCACTTCAGCTCAAAGACAAAAAAAAAGACGCACACACGCACTCAGCCACAAGACGCTCTGAAGCTAAAAACTCCTCCTGACGTCTGCTGCCATATACTCGCTGTGCGCCCGCCGTCTCCCGCCGTCTCAACAGTTCAGGTTCTTGTGTGGTCGGTCGTTCAGTTCTTCCAACGTCTCATCAGTTCTAAGAAGGTTAAAAAATATATAATATTAAATATTCTTTCGATCCTAAATATAATACCTATTATAATATAAATTATATTACAAAAAAATTTTATATTTAAGATAGGAGGAATAATACAAATCGCTGGTGTTAAAAAAAGAAGAGAGATAATACTAATCAATAAAAAGAAGAGAGATAATACTAATCAATACTAATTATGGTGTTTTAAAAAATATGTCATATTTTTTATAATTAACTAACTTATCTAACCTTTTTAATCTAATCAAATTAGTTAAATAGGCTTTATATTAAGAATTGGATGAGTATATTGCTATCAGTTTATTATATGTCATATTACTCTTGTAATTTTGGCAAAAACTTTAATAAAAAAGGCTTGCGTCAAAACGCTGGATTTGCCTGCGTTGGAGGATGGGACCCACGAAGACGCAGAATTTCCTAAGCTCCCCATCGCCAAGAAGGATGCAGATTCCGATCGATCTTCTACTGGAGCAAGGAAAGCGGTGGCGCGCGCGCGCGGTAGGTTTTTCATTTCTGTTTTTATTTTTGTTTTCTAAGTACTTTGAATCTTCTTGGTGCCAAATCCAAGCATTGAATATTCTGACTCGCTTCGTCTCTTCGATCAATCAGAGAGTGGAAGAAGGCCTGAGCTTTGACCACTCTCGAGAGATGGTTAATCTAAGTGGACGGAGGACGGAGGGGAAGGAGTAGCATATTCGAACTACAGAAACATTCCAACAGGTAACGGTTTCGGACTCTTTCACTTGCTTCGTGTTTGCTGGGAACTTGAGATGTTCTGGAGTGAATCTATTCCTGATGTGTAACGTGGAATGCTAGTGGTGTTGTCTCGGTCTTTTGTGTTGCCTCTAGTTAGCGTTTTATTGGGGCCCTGAAATGTGCATATGGTTATAGTTCGATTCGAGATTATTAGTTGATAATGATTGCTCTAATTTTTGGGCGATCGGTTTCTGTTTGTCAACCTAATTTCTGTGTCTTTGATTCCCGAGTTCCGTTTGAATTTGGAATTTGTATTGTGTAACGAAGATCAGTCATTATTTTCCTGATTGAGCGCATACGTGGGTAATGTTTATAAAATAAATAAAGATCGTGAGTCTGTCTTCGTCCTTTTTGCTGCTTTCGATTGTTTAGATTGAGGATGTTGTTGCAAGAGACGAGCGATTTGGTAGCTGGGTAGTGGTTTCTTTTCATTGTGTTAGTTGTGCTTCCCATCAGATTTTTTTCCCCCTTATTTGGAAGGATAAAAGAAAATCCTGTTAATGCAGCTTGCTGTGTTTCGTATATGAAGTCTGGGTCAGATTTCTTCTTCTTTTTCTTCTTCTTGTTTGTTTGTTTTTTTTTTTAAATTGTTTCTTTACTGATCTTTGTTGACACTCTTGTTATACCAGATTATCTCTCCAAATTTGACAACAAATTGTGGGTCAAAGCTTTCCTATTATGTCTTTGTTTGGCAAGAATGTTTTGGTCTAAAGTTGGATTGAGATTCTGCATAAACTCTTGTTCTGTCCCATGCCTGTTAGCATGATTTAATCCTGCTTCTGGTCTATATTTTGTGTTAGAATTGTTAATCTAATTGGAGCTATCTATCTATCACAGGTGTCACCAAGGATTTGTCTGGGAAATTTTGAGCGCCATAAATCAATACCCCTTGATCTAGCATCAATCCACCTGTTTCCCTTCCTTCAACTAGACATAAAAAAATGGCTGCTATGATTTCACGAAGGTTAGGTTCTAGGCTGCTAAAACCATCTCATTCTTCTTCGTCTGTGTTTTCTTCTCATTTTAAGAAGCTTCAAAACCCAATCAATGAGTCTGAACCTTCCTCCCTCTCCAACCCCCAATATTATTCCACTTTCACTTTGGCTCAGTCTTCACAATTAACGGCTTCAAACACTATTGTGAAACCCAGAACTTTTTGGACATCAAGTCCGACTTTGATATCCCAGAATTCTTGTAAAAACCCTGGCTTGAAGGACCAGAAGCTGTTTGGTCGGAAGCCTAGAAGTCTAGGTCTTAGCATTCTGAGATCATCCAACGTGAATTCCGGAGGCCATTTTATTATACAGTTATCGGTGGCCAAACCCAGATCTCTCTCAACTGAAAAACCATCTTCAGAATCTGATAAACCCCAAGACCCGGAGGCGTACCCTAGTCAAAACCCTCACTTCAAGCACCAAGAAATTGAAGGGCCTACTGTGGAACGGGATCTTTCAGCTTTGGCTGAAGAAACTCGAGATGTCCTAGAGAAGATGATGAGGAACATGTATAGCTTAAGCAAGGCAATGGCCTTTCTGGGTCTGGTTCAGCTTGGATTAGGAGCTTGGATCACACATATTAAGGGGTCTTCTTCTCCAATCACAGAGGTTTCCATCCAAAGTTTTCTGGCATTTGCATTGCCATTCTCGGTGGCTTTCTTGTTGCGTCAGTCTCTGAAGCCAATGTACTTCTTTAAGAAGAAGGAGGAGGAAGGAAGGTTACAGATTCTCACTCTGACGCTTCAGGTCGCCAAGCAATTGAATCTTTTCTTTGTGAGGACTCGTGGGGTTTCTATTATTTGTATGTCAGGCCTGTGCGCTGGAGTGTTTTATCTTGTCATCTCCAGATGACTCGGTTGAAGAATTATGAACTGTGAACTAACCATGTCTGTGGATTTGGATTGCTGTTGAGTTTCGGTTGGCTTATTCGTCAAAACAGAAAACGTTGCGCAGTTTTGATGAGGCAGCCTGTATGTGTGGTTGATTCAAATAAGATGGAAGCTGATTAGACATGTTTTTATCTTCCAAGACGAAGCTACAAAATAAGAGACTGTTGCCTAATATACAGTAGCAGAAAACTTACAAGAGCTCATCATATCCACAGACTGCTGGTATTTGAAAAAGCACCATTGTCCCTAGTACCCTAAGAATCCCTCTTTCACTAAATTAGGTTTTAGAGAAAAATACAAGTACTTTAAAGGAATTTTTATTTAGCTTTTTTAATTGTCCCATTAATCAACTGGATTTTATGTTAAAGATTAGAAGTACAGTAAGTATATTGATCTTTCTAAAATATTATCTTAAATTATTTGTATTGAAATTACTTTTTGATTCAAACTGTTTTGACATATACCATCAACAAGGATAGTTTAGAAAAAGGTAATAAATTTGAGGGGACAAAAGTAATTAAGATCTTATAATTCTCGAATTTATTATTTAACTAAATCTAACATGGGCGATGGGCCACTCCACCAGCCCAATCCATACTACATATAAGTGGCCCAACCCTATCAGTCACATGCACGTGTGGGACATGAACTCAATTTCCAAAACGACATTTTTGCATAAGGAGTGGATCACTGTTTAAATTTGCGTAATTCTGATGGAAGCTTTATATCAGATTAAATGCCCACTTATATTTATATTAGTGGTAGAAAAGTGATCGATCTTATCTTGTATCTAGTAAATATGCAAAAAATTTATGTCGTAAAGCTTAAAATTTAACATAGTTTCAATTCGTGATTTCTCATATACATATATATATATATATATATATGAAAAAAAAACGGAGCATTCATGTCATTATGCTATATAGTTTCAATCCCTCTTTCACTAAATTACCTTTTAAAGAAAAAATAATAAATATAAGTACTTTAAAGTAATTTTTATTTAGCTTCTTTAATCGTTACAAATTAACCAACTGGATTTTATATTAAAGATCAGAAGTATATTGATCTTCCTAAAATACTATCTTAAATCATTTGTATTGAAATTATTTTTCGATGTAAACTGTTTTGACATGTACCATCAACAAGGATAGTTTAGAAAAAGGTAATAAATTTGAGGGGACAAAAGTAATTAAGATCTTATAATACCCATATTCAACTAAATCTAACATGGGTGATGGGCCACTCCACCAGCCCAATCCATACTACATACAAGTGGCCCAACCCTATCAGCCACATGATCCCCAACAATAAATAAATATGGTTAGGAAGATAAATATTTGATTAGTGGAGAATCAACAGTATTAGTACGTAAATTTCATTTCTCATGGGGGAGGTGATTTGATTTGATAGGAATTAGGTATAACGGCATAATGGGGAGGAACACCTGATAATTTATGGAAATGACATTGACAGGACGATGAATACGTGTCACTGACACGTGTTCATGGCGGGGAGGGGGATCGCCGCGGATGGGAAAATGAATGAGAGAGAGAGAGATGAGCGATTATCAATTACATACCATATTTTGCAGCCCACCCGGTTATCATGCTAATCATGAAATCTTATAATTCAATTGACATAAAAAAAAAACATTTCAAGATCAAATTGGTAATTAAAACAAGTTTAAAGACCAAAACTCTCATTATTCCCATTTCACCATTTCACTATGAGATCTCAAGAAAAAAAAAATCAAGCCAAAAAATTCCAATATAAGAGTAGCATGAATTTTGTTGTCATTTTATGCCTTAAAATTTATCATTCAATTGTTATATAATTTTTTAATAATTAAAATTTTTGAGATTGAGGGCCATTTAGAATAGTTTATAAATATCTTTTAAATAATAATTTACGAAATACGAGATAAATTTGTGACTCGTCTTATGTGAAACGTGCTTATAAAAGATTTTTTTAAGTCCTCCCAGACAGGCCCTTAATAGTGATTTTTTCACATATACTCCTATATTATACTACTCTTTTTTTTTTACCGGTATATTATACTACTCTTATCCTAAACATAAGTCACTTATAGAAAAAAATTTTGATTCTAAATGTAAATCACTTATGCTCTATTTAGTGCTTATTTTCTAATTTTATTTTTATTGAAAAGAGGCAAAAAAAAAAAAGACATGAGAATGGTTTATAAACACTAAATATAGATATTCTTAATATACGAAAATGTGTTACAACTAATTTATGTGGAAGCATGGGAGTGGCAGGCATTAAAGCCATTATATTAACGCTGGTCCAAAAAAAAAAAAGCCATTATATTAACATGAAGATTAATTTGATTGGGAGGATGTCGTTTTGATTTGCACATGCACATGATGAGCGCGTAGCAGGGAAGAAAAGCAAGAGATAGATAGGGGCGGTGGTCAGATGGGGCGGCTCAGTGGGGCTTCTCACTTTTGTCGCCACCATTTGCCCCACGCCTCCGACCTTACCCTCTCCCCATTTACCATTTTACCCTTCCTTCCTTTTCCTTCTCTCTCTTCTCTACGTCCCCGCCCTTATCAGCATCACTCTTTTGAAAATTACACTACTAATAAATAAATCGAGTTTTCGGCCAAAATAAATAAATAAATGAAATCCATTTTGCATGGCAATTGTTCGGCGCCCCCTTTGATCTCTCTAGCGACTTCTTTTTCTTTTTCTCAGGTTATAAAAACCATTTTTTAACTTTTATTTCTTTTTTCCCTTCATACGCCCGCTATGCTCTAAAAAAAATAAAATCAAACTCATAATTCTATGCTCAAAAAAGACTTTGAAAAATAATTAGCATTATTGTGTTTCAAAAGTTTTGACCCTTCAAATAAACTGAATGATTAAAAATCTACACAGATCTAAAAGTTAAAAAAAAAGAGTAAAATATTCTGACCACTTTTCTGTTTCATCTCAATTACAGAGACATCCTTTATATTTTAATAACATATATTTTAGTCCAAATCATTAACACTATTAAGAAATATTCCGAAAAGCTTTTCCAAGTATTTTTTTAATTAAAAAATATGTTTATCTATTCAATTTGGTTTTAAATATAATATTCCAGTTTATTTTGTCCCTTATACTTATTTTTTTTTAAAGTAGTCATTGTAGTAGTTACATATATTAAATGTTTCATCAAACAGTAGTTCTAACTAATACACATATTAGTAAGAATATTTTATTAAAAATAATACTTAATTTATTATAAATAACTAACATAACAAACTTTCTTAATATACTGAATTAGTTAACTAACTTTTATATTAAAAATCGGAGATATTAATAAAAGCATACAATGATGGAGTATTGATATTGATCACCAGCAAAGTATAGTGAAAGGATGGAGACAATATTCATAAATTCATAATGTATCATGCGTGTGGGGGACATGAACTCAATTTCCAAAACGACATTTTTGCATAAGAAGTGGATCACTGTTTAAATTTGCATAATTCTGATGGAAGCTTTATATCTGATTAAGTGACCACTTATATTTATATTAGTGGTAGAAAATTGATCGATCTTATGTTGTATCTGGTAAATATGCAGAAAATTTACCTCGTAAAGCTTAAAATTTAACGTAGTTTCAATTCGTGATTTCTCTCACACACACACACACATATATATAAGGAGCCTTCATGTCATTATGCTGTAAAATTAGCAGCTAAACTTGCAATTTTCTGTGTTATTTGACGTGTCTCTTAAGCTGCATTGTCCTTTTTTTTTTTTTTTGTATGACCAGTCCACATAACCCATACGTAATTTCAAAGATAAAAATTGTTTAATGAATTATATTGCTTAATGAAAATATATAAATCAAATCTCTCTTTTTTTCTTCTCTAGTTTGCTTTAATCTCAACTCAGAATGGGAAATTAATGAATCTTCTTCCATCTTCAGCCAGATTTGAGCCATTCGGTTTTTGCAAAACTGTTCCGGTTTTTAGATTAACTCTGGCTTCCGATCCAAAGACCAGTCAAAAGCAGCTCAACACAGTTCAATTACCTGAGCTGTTAATCTAGGCAAAACGAGCCGGAAAGTATTCTGGTCACCGGCCGGACTAGTCCAACCGTTCGTTTTGGTCTGGTTCAGTTCGGTTTTTAAATCATTAAATCAAATTATAAAATTAAATGTATTATTATTTTTATAGTAATTGGGAAGGAGCAGTGAAGAAGATGAACTGCATGTGGAGTGTGTGCTAGATTTGGCTTCAGGTTCACTGTTCATATCGCCCCTTTGAGGACTTCTCACAGTCACATACTTTCGGCACATGGCTCTTCATTCCCTGCTTTGTATGAATACATATATAGTATTTAATTAATATGATATAAACACACCTTATCGAAAAAATTATAATATAAATACAAAGACTTTTAATAAACAATTAAACATATTTTCATATCCTCCTTTGATTCTGTTGCTTCGTTTTGCCAGACAAACACCCTCTTATCATGAGATTCCTCTTTCTTCTTTTTTAAAAACCTATTATAAAAAGGATTACTTATTTTTATAGCAAGTTTCCAATGATTGTCTCCGCCAATTGATCTAAAAACCATATATATATATATGTATATATATTATATCTAGGAGTGTTAGAATATTTATTTATTTAGCCTACTTTAAGAACTAAAAAAAATCAAAATTCATATCAGCTTTCAATGATTGTCTCATGCAATGCAACAGAGTTTTTTATTTTAAAAAAAACAAAATAGGTATGATTATAATGAACTTGACATTACCTTAATTGAGCCTCACTCAGTTAACTTTTAATGGAGGAATATTAATCATCTGATTATATCCAGTAGTGTTGAATTGTTGACAGAGGAATTACAAAATTATTTACTTCCGTAAAAAAATTGAAACATTTTCTTTAATATACCATCACAGCGCAACTTTAATGATTAATATCCATTAATTAAAACCCGATTAAGAGATGCTTAATTGAGAAGATCCAAATCACGGTTATTAGTGAAACAGGGGAACATGGCAGCTGAAAAAAAGGTCAATTATTTTGTTAGGAAAAAATACTTCATCTTTATTACAAGTTTCAAATAACTAATTCGTAAATAAGTAACAATCAATTAAAATTAGTTAAATGTAATAAATAAATTAAAAATATATTTTTGTTTTCAAATACATGCTTCTAATAAGTGAGAAAGAGATGAAAGATAATATATGAGAAATATAAACAGAGAGCAAAAAAGAGAGAATAAATAATTAAGGATAAAATTAAAAAAGATACATTTTTTGCCAATAGAAAAAATGAATTAAATGTTAAGACAAATCAAAATTAAAACTTATAAAATCTATTACAGTCATTTCTACATTTAAAATTTATAAATAAGATTGGAACGAGTAGCATATTAAATTTTGCTTTGGAGTCCAAAAATATGTTTTTACATCTCCCAACTTGCTGATACCAGCAGTAATTTTTTATCACAAAACGTAAAGTAATTAAAATTTATAGTAGCTTCCACAAAAAAGAAATCAATATTGTTAGAATTATTACTAATTTTTTTAATTATATATGTCTGAAATCAGAAAACCAGGAATTATTGAGAGGGGCAAGTTCCCCTACAGGACCCAGCTGGGCATGGCAAATGGCCATGATAGTTCTTCCTCAAACAACGACACGAACACGTCAGAGAAAGCCCCTGGGGGCAAGAAATCCCCAAGAAATTTCACCAAATCCCCATGGGTAATTTTGTAATTTCTGAACTGTGCAGGGAAAAAAATATTGATACGCGTCCCTATGAGGTCCATATTCCATCGCCATTACCGACCTCAGAGCCCCTTCAAATCCCCGTTTCTCTCTCTGCTTCCCAGCCTTTCCCCCCCATTCCCTTTGCCTTCCCCTCTTTCTTTTCCTTCTCCTCCAAGCAGAAATTCCCCAAGTTTCTCTCTCTGTGTTTTGCTTTGCATACATCGAAGGGAAATCATGGTTCAGATTCAGAAAACGGAGAAGGAAGAGACCGAGTTCAAGGTTCCTGAAACCATCACCCCCTGCGTTAACAACTGCGGGGTTACCGGTAATCCGGCCAACAATAATATGTGCCAGAAGTGCTTCACCACCACAGCCGCTGCCGCCTCGTCAGCGACGACCTCCTCTACCGGGATTTCTCCTCCTCCTAAATTTTCCGACGACAAAAGTTCTAGATCCGCCCCTTCCCGCTCGCCCAAGAGGTCGCACCCTTCCGAGGAGGAGCCGACGCAGAATCTATTATCAGATCGGACGAAATCGGACGACACGACGCCGTCTGAAGCCAAACGGGTGGTGAATCGATGCTCTGGATGCCGAAGGAAGGTCGGTTTGACCGGATTCCGATGCCGGTGCGGCGAGTTGTTCTGCGCTGAGCACCGGTACTCCGATCGACACGACTGCAGCTACGACTACAAAGCCGCCGGACGCGAGGCGATCGCGAGGGAAAATCCGGTGGTAAAAGCGGCGAAGATTGTGAAGGTTTGAATCTGCAGAAACCAAAGGAATCTGATAGATTATTATTACTCAACAACACGATCATCCACCATCTGTACGGGATCGAGGTCCGATCCCGTCATTTCTCTCTGTCGCAGGAGATAATAGATATGTTAGCAGAACATCAATGTTTTAGCGTGTGAGACAGAGAGATTGTTACCGAAGACGATTCCATGAGATCGTCCGTGTTCGATCAATCTATGATCATTTTTTCTGGATTGTTTTACCTTTCTTTCCTCTTTTTGGGTCTTGTTTTGGGTTGATAATGATAAATTATTGTGATTTACGACTACGATAATTGTGGGCTTTCCCTTAGTTTGATTATCATCTTTCCTTCGTATTCAAAAACTTTAATTTAATTTGCTTGTCACCTTGCAAGAATCGGGAATAATCGCAGCGAAGAGCGGGGCGTGGAAAAGGAAATTTGGGGAAAGTTGCGGGGGTACAATCGTCATTTTGATTGTACTTTTAAAATGAATTTTCGATGATAGTGATGAGGGACGTGTGTGGGACCATCTTTGCTCAATAGATTCATGCGATGTAGCGCGTGATATTGGAGTGGAAGGGGGGCGGTATTTACTTCGTGACAATGACGGGTGCTTTAATAGCCAATAAAGATATGCCACGTGTTTGGAGGGGCTGCAAAAAGGCGGGGTGATAAATATGACGCGCGAGGCGGCGAGTGAGATTGAAGAAAAAGAAGGAAATCAGGATTTGGATGCGTAAGCCACTTGGGTTTCGTTTTGGGGTGTCTGCCTTGTGTTTCAAATTAAATTAACTTTTTTTACCAAAAAAAAAAAAGAGAGGAGAAAAGGAACAGGAACGTGTTGGTGAATAAGGGGATGCCAGGAGTAAGTGGAAATCTACAGGGCTGTCGTGATCCAACGGCTGTTATTGATGGTGCGGTTCGAGATTCAAAAGGAGACCACCAGCTGGCCATCCCTCAATATAAAAACTAATTTAATTAAGTTTTAAGTATAAATTTTAATTTATTTTCTTTTTCATATTTATTAATAATTTCTCAGTAATTATAAATATTAAATAATTTTTATTTAAATACACGTTATTAATAAAGGTATTTTAGATAAGACAACTTTATTTATTATAAATAATTATTTTAACTAATTTTTTAATATTCATAAATTAATTATCTAATTTTTATATTAAGGATCAAATGTAGTATAATTTCTTTTTGTTGCCTAAAGTATCTTTTCACCCGAATGATGACGAACTAAACTCTCGGGATACTGTTAGGCGTTGTAGCAGGAACATCTCCCCACAATGTTTGTTTCGTACACACCATCTCAAGAATTGAACCAGGACATGATATTTAACGTGCTTGGTATAATTTGTGTATATGATGCATTCAAAAGATTCCACCCAAATACTCTTTCTAATCTATAATATTAGTCACTTCGAATAATTTATTAAAATTAAATGAAGTTGTGAAAGAGATAGAAAAAATAATGAGTCGCAATTAAACATTATTTACAAAGACAAAACTAACAAATGAGTATTAATTTACTCTCCGAGTCACATGTATCGGGGATCAAAATATTTGTATTGTGAATAGGAAAATACAAATTTAATCCCTAAGAAAGTCTAATGATACTGAGCACATATTGAAGTCCCTTTTAAGTATGATGTTATGGGTTCGGCTTTTCCTTTGTAAATATGATAAGTATGCCAGTTTTTTTTCCTAAAGGAAAAAAACGCTAATAGATAAATATAAATTTAATCTATGGCTTGCTGACAAAATCTTCATTACACAAATTAAAGTAAAATTATCCGTGACCTTGTAAAGAAATTTAAGGGAATTGATATATGATATTGATATTAATTGATGGTAGCGGTTTTTATAATTATACAGTACAGCATATATTGATGCTCTTCCGAGGGCAAAAAAATATATATTGATGGTATTTTTCTTGATATGTATACCTTTTTCGGATTTATATAACTTACCAGTAAGCCCGGGTTTTTTTTGGGGGGGGGGGTGTTGGGAGGGTTTATATGAAATGTTTAAGTGCGTAGTGGGAAGCGTGGCATCTCTATGATTCAGTATCATGTGATGTGTTTTCATTTATTTTAAAATGTTAATATAATCTTTAGTTCTTCAAATTTATCCTTATTTTGATTTTGATATCTCAAATTTCAAATGATAGATCTTGATCCCTTAAAGAACAAAATAGTTGAGGTATTTATTGAATTGTAGGGATCTATGTTTTAAATAAAATGAAACTCGATGGATCAAAATTTATGGTTTGAAATTTCATGGACTAAAACTAAAATGAAGACAAACTTAAGGAAAAAAATTGTATTAACCCTATTTTAAAACACGGATCAAATAAAAAATTATTTCACATGAATTCAAATTAAATATTAATCTACGTATAATTATGTATGAGTAGAGAGTATCAATAACAAAACAATTATTTAGTGTTATTATGTTTCTGTAGCCAAAAATTGTGATTGCAGGACGCAAGATATAAAAATTTACTTAGTGTCTTTAATATAGGGGCTTTTTTGCCAAAAATATAAATTAGATAATTAATTTAAAAATATTAAATTAATTATTTATTTTAAAAAAACTAAGTGTTGGTTTTCTTAAAGCGTCATTTTTACCATTTACATTACAAGTTATTTCATTGATTAAAAAATACTTTTAATATATGTAATCAATATAAAAGTTTATGAAAAAAGTATAAATTTGTAAAATAAAATAAATTAAGGTTGTATATTTATGATAAAAATAAACTTTTTTTATTAACTCTTATATTTAGTATCCAGCAAGTGTTATTCATCAATAATGTTATTTGTTTAAAACACTTGTCCATAGTTTTTTTTTCTATTGCCATCCATAAATGAAGTTCTAAATTTAAGTAGCTTATAACATATTTAATACTTTTTCAATTTTACTGTTATTTAATTTTTATTAAAAAGAGGGGAAAGATGGAAAAGATATGAGAGTAATTTGTAAATGTAAGGAAAAAATTCTAATAAGAGTAAAATTAAAAAATTGTCAATTTAATGCATTCCTTTACATGGGAGAAGCTATTTATATCAAGAATCGGAGGGGTAATCCATTAATATTGGTAAACTAAATAAATTGTATTTATTGAATTTCTTTAAACATTACAGACAGACGCCATGACATAAGTAATAATTAATGGAATTGATTATTAAGCATATTCATTTTCCTCGTCCAACGTCATGATTAAATTTAGGCCTATTATTTTCCTGTGTCAGAGACTGAACTTAAAAACACAAAATTAAATCATTAACGGCTGAGGCCAATTTTACCATTAAATATATCACTTAATCAACACCAATAATAGTGGACATTTTGACAAGACATCATATTCCTTAGTGCCCTAAACAAACGCCCTTTGATATTTGAAAAAGCACAAAGGTATCACCTGTCATACTTGAGTAAACAAAAATATTAACAACGAATTTAATTAAATGTACAAATAAAAAATTGAGAGATTAAAGAAAAAAACTCAATGCAAATAAAAAATTGAGAGATTAAAGAAAGAAACTCAATGCATAGTTAAAAAAAATTCAGCTAATCATAAAATGAATACACAAAAAAAGAATTATTGAATCAGTGAATCTAATATGACCTTCATATGTTGAAGGAAGGTTTGATAAAAGGAAAAATACTAACATTTCATCAATTTGACAAGATAAATATAAGGAAAAATTATAATTTATAAAAGTACCAACTCTATCTCAAAAATTATAATTTATATATAAGACTGAAAGGAGTACCAATATTCCATCAAAACCATTTTTAAAAAGAATTGATGGGAAAAAGTACAAATTTACTATTCAAACTATAAATATTTATCATTAAGATATTGCAAATTTACAAGTCGAATGATATTTTACTATTATTTGCTACACAAACAGCATTAATTACCCGTGAAAGTAATATTTACTGTTAGGAGTCCTTGGAAATAAATACTCCAACTCATAAGTTTGACCTTTGGGAATAATTTAACCAAGAAATAATCCCATATGCTTTAAAATAATAAAGAAATTGGTAGCTGGAAATAGTGTAATAACATCATAGAAAGTATACTTAGGATTCCAATTTCCAAAATATTAAAAACAATGAAAGAATAATTAGGTGTCACTGAATTTACTAATCATGATCGTGTTGTTAATTCATGATTTGGTGCTAATGGTGGGTCGTGGTTCTTGTCTCTTACTCCTTTTTTTTGTGTAATGCAAGCCTTTTTTTATTAAAGATTTTTTTGCATAGAAGGCATAAAGAATTAATGAAAAGATATGTGGGGAAGCACTTAAGCTAGGAGGTTTTTAAATCAAAGTGATGATAAAATCCACCCACCCCACTAATAAAATTATTTGCCTACTTTTTATCTAGCTATTAAAATATTAAATAATTTATGTATTTTTTTCTAAAATTATATTGAAATTATAAAAAGCAATTTTATCCTTTTAATTTTATAATAAAAGGCTATATAATTTCAACGAAATTCACAAAGAACATCGTAAAATTTTTCTTTTTTTAAAAAAATTGCATAAATCTTTTTGACAATAGAAATTGTGTATTATTGAAACAAAATTTAGAAGCGGCTTGATCACGTTTAAAAATAAAGTAATTCATAATTTCAACAAAATTTAAGAGATTCTCATGCAATTTTTATTCTGTTTTCACTTTTTCTGTGATGGGACTACAGGGTGTTTGCTCCATGAGAAGCAGATACTTCAATATACATTGTGCAAAAAATATTACTATCTCTGCTCCTTAATATAATATCTTGTTTGATTTTTATTTTGACCCTAATGATAAAACTCTAATTCACTTTATCTCTCATATTTATGTATTTCTTCCCAATATAGTCCTTCTAACAATAGTAGCTCTAGCCAATATACTTGATTAGTAAAGATATTTTAGAAAAGACAACACCTATTTATTACAAATAACTAACTTAACTTCTTTCTTTAATCTCCTCAAATTAGTCAATTAACTCTTATAAATAGGACCGGAGGTAGTACACTATATTTTGAAAAATAAGTTGGGCAAACGAAAATGGTCATATTATTTAGTCATGTGAGTGATGTGATTTATTATAAATTTTATTTTATATACATCGATATTTTTTTGGGAATATATATGTATATAGACATCAATTTCATGCCAAATAAACAAGTGATCCAAATTATGCAATTTCTTCCTACGGTGTAATAATTATTAATATCTTAGCTTAGTCGGAAGGATCAATGGAAGATGTAATTTGACACAGTATATTAAGATGGGGAAATAATTAATTCCATTTTGTTAATACATTTACACGTGAGATAAAGCCACAAAAAAAAAAAAAGACATAAAAACTGATAAACAAAAGAAATCTAGTAATGACTGAAACTAGGGGTGAGCAAAACCGAACCATAACCGAAAACCGAACCGAACCGAATTTAATTTCGGTTTTTCGGTTCGGTTATTTCGATTATATATTTGGTTTTTATTTTTAAAATAATTCGGTTTCGGTTTTCGGTTCAGTTAGTAGAAAAAAAATTTCGGTTATAACCGAATAACCGAAATAAATATATTATATATTTATATTTAATAAATATTATTATAATAAATATATATGTGGGTATATGTGAATTTTTAAATATATTTATATTCAATAAATATGGTTATAATGAATATTATTATAATAAATAACATAGAATGATGAAATATTAATTAATTAATAGTTATAATTGTGTTTTATTATTATTTTTAATTTAAAATCATTTTTCATATTTATATATTTCGGTTAATTGGTTAACCGAACCGAAATTTTCGGTTAGTTCAGTTAATCGGTTTCGGTTCGGTGTTTAAAATTTACTCTATTCGGTTATTCGGTTATTACCGATAACCGAACCGAAAAACCGAATACTCACCCCTAACTGAAACCATTTTACCATATCATGGTACCCGAAATTGTCAATGATATATTTACATATATTGGTGCATGAATGTTTAGACGATTATTTATATGATATAAGAAAGAACATCCACTGGGAGGCTATTAAGAGAACACATTTTTTTTATATTATACAATTAAGCACGTATTCACACACATGTCAACGCCAGGTCTGAACTTGAAAGCTCATCCAAACATATCAGGCGGTATTACCGCTGAAGCAATTAGCTATTGACATTAAGAGAACACATTGGCCATTTGGAGATCACAAGAGAGTTGTTGGGAAGAAGAAAGTAGGACCGTGAGAAGAAAGTTGTTTGGAGGGGGGAAATGATGGGCAAAGAAAGAAATGAAGTGGGTGTAAAGATGCAATCATAGAAGTTTGAGCTTTGGGTTCCATTTTTCAATTGAATATTGGCCCACTTCCAACTTGAAAGAAGCGCATGCTTCCACTAGTGTGTGTATTTTACAGTAATTGGTGTATTGACCTTTACACCAAGATAAAGAATTCCAACTGACAAGGCAGATCCCATTTAATTGACAAAGTAAGGGTAACTATGTGATGTTTTATTAAAGGGGTATGCCAAACCGGAAGTCAAATATAAAAAAACAAAATCAACTCATCATAAAAAGAAAGTATGGATTTGATACATCAGAAAAGAACCTGGATTTTATTCCCCATGCTCAGAAACAAGACAGACTGCTAAAGGAAAAAAAAGCATTAAGCTTGATTTGGTTATAGCATTAGAAAGATATTCCTCATTCATTACGTCAAAAGTGAGATATATAATGCAAGATATATATTTTTATATTTTATTCAGACACACGATAATTTTCATATGTACAATAATTTTTTCCCTTTCTATGAAAATAATGGAGGATCATGTTCTCTTCAAGAAAAAGGGAAAATTACACAGGTCTCAATATTTGTTTAGCACCAAGGAGTAAAAGTAAAAACCAAAATCTCCCATGTTTCAACACAGTGAGCAAATATTCCGCGTCAAATAGTCAAGTGACAATTAAAAAGGTAATGTCACAGGGAATTCAAGGCAATCAATTAGAACAAGATCATGCAATGTCTACCCATCTATCCTTTAGTGTGCTTCATCAACTAAACACATCCAATTACACATAGACAACTAAATGCTGATCAGACCACCAAATGGTTCAAATTAAAGGGGCACATGGTTAAATCAGCACAAAACAGAAAAACAACTACTTATATATCTCACATCTAGGCCCCATCTGGCTGCACAAAGGGGTTTGCGATCTCATCTGTACCATCGGTTGGGGATACAAGCATGACAGCTGTTCCCCTGCAAACCTGCAGTACAACAGAAGCAGTCAAGTCCCCAGAGTAAAGTATTGTCATAGGCGTTCCAGAAGTTAAGCTTGATAAAATTAATAGAAACTGCAAAGATAAGAATCATTTTAAAATGAGTTTGTGCATGCAATGTTATGAGTTTCAAATTTAGCAGGATGCTAATACCATAAGTTCTCTCTAGTGGCTTCAGAATAAGTAAAGTTTATCAATTTCTTCCCAGCTTTTCATTCTCAGAAACCCTTAACATATCCAAAATCAGACACAGGTGATCTTGGCTTTTCCTCCAAAGAAAAGCACATCAAAGCAATTTTCATTCTTCCTCCCTGCAGCTCCTTAACACACTCAAATGAACTGCCTTGAAATGCTCTTATTCAGCAGTTGTTGGATCCGAGGAAGGGCTGGACGGAGAAGAAAAATATAACAACTAGGAGTTGCATCTTTTATGAAGCTCATTTTGCTGCTTTATTCTTGTTTTCTTTCCATGTCATTATTGTCAGATCCAAGAAAGCAAGTTGATTAGTTTATACAGGCACTACCTAGATTTTGCAAGCATAAATAATTAAAATGACGATGCGAGATTTCTTGATAGCATTGCGTTTATGTTCTATAAGACTATAACTAGTCAGGATAAGGGTATTATCAATAATGTAGAGTGAAATTAATAACATTGACAGCTTACGGATGGTATGGCGTCAAAATAGAGCTTAGTTCTATTAATTATGCATGATAAAACAACAAAATCTACCATACTCTACCATAATCAATCATTGGTCTGAAAGATACCATCAAAGTTTGGTCATTCGAAGCAATAGTTTCAGACTTTAAGTTTCCAAGTTAACAACATAACATTTTTGCTGTTTCCTTCCCAACAATGCTTCATAGACAAATGGCAAGAAGCCCCTACCATTTGGCCAAAAACTTCCCATCAAGGTTCAGACGTAAAAAATAATTTCAAGTTCTACCCCCTATTCATTTATGTTATTCTTCCTAATATAAAATAAGCCATTTCCATCTGTTCTTGGTAAAGTAGCTTGTAGAACCAAGATGCATGATTCATCTATTTGTGAAATGAGTACCCTTTTTCTCTCTTTATGTCTAAAAGATATTGACTAAGGAAAAATATCCACTAGCAGGCTTCAAATAAATGGTTCATTGACTCAAGTCAATTCACCCGTAAACTACAATTTATCAGAAGATCTAAGTTTGATGTTCATGTGATAATAATATAACCACATAGGAGGAAACCTACAATTAAGCCAAGACGTCTGGTCTGATCAGTGGTTTTCAGTGGGTCATCAGCATCTGCAGCAAAAGAGAAAACAAAATGCATTTTGTTTATGACATACAATGGCATAAGTTTTTCAAGATTAACAAAATATGCTATGGACTTATGCCAGAAAAAATACGTTTTAATCAATCTACTGTACAAGTGACCTTTTGATTAGAAATGAAGTGACCAACAATTTGCAATTTTTTTTTTTGAAACAAAAAGAACACGTCAAACTCAATGCAGAAAGATGCACAAGTTGCATTTATGAACTTGAATACATAATTCCGAATCTAAACACTCAATAAAACTATTGATTCACATGTTTCTATTAGGGCTATATATATATATGGGGACTGTGTGTGTGGCTGTGTGTTAATAACTCAAGAAAAGCAAAATAAGGTGTTGACAATATCTACCTCTTAGAAATTCCACCGCTTCATCCAGGACAAGGTTAAGTAACTGATCATAACCTTTTAGAGTTCCTGTCACTGCAATGCCACAAATTAAATATAAAAAGGCTGAATAGGAGAAGTTACTAACACTTTGTTCCACAAAAAATGCAGTCTTTCTCAAATAAAGTCATTGCCACTTGTTACTTTATTAATCGATCCCTCATAATCTGAATTCATACGGCTTAAGTTCCTCTGCTTCCATTAGCAACAGCATATTAATCGACGAAAAAGTTGATATGAACAAAAAAAGTAAGCCTAATTTATGTGTTCGATAACTTAATTGAGAATACAGCATAACATTGAGTGGCAAAAATATAGTTACAAAGAAAAATATACTGATACATATAACACAATGCATTCTAATAAAACCTATTCACATAGTTTATCATTGATTTTATTCTAATAACCTAATAGAATTTTGCATCAAGAAGGACTCAGGCATGAAGTTGAAGCAAATGAATCAGGTCCTCAAATAAAGTCACCGTATTCAGGGACGTTAAGTCCCAGGCGAAGGACAACACACTCATATACAGAGAACTAGACCCATATTGTTAGTTTGTAGCGATAGGAGATTGCGAGCCCTCAAGAAAACTGTGCGCTGAAAAAGCACGTATGTTTCACAAAGTCTGCTTAGCCAGTTAAATATTCAACTACTCCAGTTTAGTCCTCAAAGATGCTCTAAATATTGATACTGCAGAGATTTTGTGTCACTTTAGTACCAAAAAGTGTGTGTTAAATTTCTTGGATAGTAAAATGGCATTGAGACCAACAAGAAAAATGTAGAGTTTTTTTTTTTTTGGGGGGGGTGTTGGTGGTGGGGAATCATATCGAAGTGATATAAACTATTAATGAAGTATTAAATTGATAATGACACCATCTTTCAAGAACCAAAATAGGTTTTTCTCCATAAATCAATTAAACTTCACGGCCAAGTCTATTAAACCACATGGCTTTAAACTAGGGATGAAAAAAGACGAAATTGGATCACCTTGTCTGCCACCAGTAAGCTTGACTTGAACCCCTTTGTCCACAAATTTTGCCAGGTCCAGAACAGTTTCTTTCCTACCCGACTGATAATACAATAAAACCCAACAATTAAGGAAAGGAAAAGCAACCAGAAACCTAAAAAAACGAAGGAGAAGCGCCTGAACCAACACAATAGCTTCTTCACAAGCTTTTACATTTTCCCGAATCAGTGCCAGATAAACTTACCATGCCTCAGTAGGATTTGGTGGCTTCTATTGAATTTCTTCTGCATCACAGCGAAAATTGAATTGTAAATCGTAAAATAGAAACAGAAAGCTAAAATGAAATCCACACAACACATACACTAACGGAAGCTATCTGCAAAGGGAGACCGACTGTGGAGCGCGCACAGAGGGAGAGTTGGCGAGAGAAGGCTTTGCTTAAAATCGAAAATTTGCGCTTTAGCTGTGCAGCTTTGGGCGGGTTAAATAAGACCCGGGAGATCTGCTCCAAGGCAAACCGGCAAACATGCAGGTTCATGGTTTTGGGCCATTCAAAAAATTCATATCAAGAGATCAAAATTTCAAAATAACGTCTTAAAAATTCTCAACAGTTGACAAAGCGTGCGTTTATAATTCACAAAATCATGAGTTGAAATTTCATAAAAATTTGTTAGCAGATGATCTATAAATATCTTTATATCGGCATCGAGGACATGCGGTGATGCTATTAGGTTTTGGAGAATAAATCCCGAAAAGAAATGGTTAAAAAGTGATAATAGATTTTAAGTGGAATAAACCATGCGAAAGAAGTAACATTGATAAATTGAAAATGTCTAAATGATTGTAATGAAATTACATTTTCATATGTAAATGTAGATTACTTAAAAAAGATAGGGTTAAAATGCATTAAACATCCTAAAATATTTTCTCAAGTGTATTTAGTATTCCGAAGTATTTTGGGTGTATCCAGTATCCTGAAATATTTTTTAAGGGTGTCTAGCAGCTTGAAGCATTTTTTTAACCTTAATGTTGAATGCGCTAAAAAATACTTTGGGTTCTGAAGGTCCACAAAAAAATATTTTAGGGTGTTGGATGTACAAAAAAAATATTTCAGAATGTTAAATGTATTATAAAATACAATACCAAGAAAAATATTTTGAAGAGCTACATGCACTTTAACCCAAAAAATATAAGCTAATGATATGTTTATATGAAAAATAAAAATGATATTTAACATTGATCAACAATAATAATTTTTTATTCATTTTAGTACGATAATTTTAAGGAAAAATCCCAGAAAAAGCCCTTGGAATATACTAAATCCCAGATTGGGTCCTTAAATTTCGAAAATGACAGAATGGGTCATTGACCCAATCTGTCATTTGTGAAATTTAGGCGAATTAACATTTTTGCCCCTGAGCAAAAGTGAGTAGTTATTCTCTAAACAAATATAGGTAACGCTTACACTGTTCTAGTGATTACAAGATTCGTTGTAGTTAATAAGAAGGTACTTGACAATAATAAGATACCTGACTATGAAAAAAATGAGTAGTTATTCTCTACACAAATCTAGGTAATGTTTACATTGTTCTAGTGATTACAGAATTAGTTGTAGTTAATAACAAGACACTTGACTATGAAAAAGTGAGTAGTTATTCATTACACAAATCTAGGTAACACCTAAACTCTTATAGTGATTCCTTAAATCATTGTAGTGAATGAATAAATGAGGGCAAAATTGTCAATTCACCTGAATTTCACAAATGACAGATCGGGTCAATGACCCATTCTGTCATTTTCAAAATTTAAAGACCCAATCTGGTATTTTTCATATTCTAAAGACCTTTTTTGGGATTTTCCTTAATTTTAAAAGAAAGAACATGCAACATAATATGTCTAAAACTATAGTTGCTACACTCTTTTGGGCAAACACTATCATTATCATTATTACACTCAAAACTTTGTACTTAAAATCAAACTCAACTCCAACTAACTCTTACGTTATTCATCATGACTTAGAAATTGTATGAAATTTTATGTTTTCATTATAAATTTGATTGAGACATTAACATATATATTTTTGGTTATAATAAATTAATATATTTGACATTATATATTTTTTAATAAAAGAGGAAATATTTGATATTATTTTTTTTAGTAGAGTCATATTTGATATTCTATACTACCTCCGATTCGTAATATAAGAAAATTTAGTCTCAAATATAATATCTCAATTTATTTTGTTTATCATTTTTTTAAAAAATAATTCTTGTAGTAATTGCATATGTTAAATATTCAATCAAATAGTAGTTTTAACTAATATATGATTAGTAAAGGTATTTTAAAAAAAATATATAATTATTATAAATAACTAACTTAATAAATTTTTTAATTTACTTAAATTAGTGTATTAATTTTTTTTATTAAGGATAGGAGATAGTATATTGGTGTAAATACAATATTGATATACATAATGAATCTTTGACAATTGTAGTGGCGATTCTCCCACAGCTGGGGTTTTTTTGGGCCACATAGCGATTGCACGGATTTGATCCGACCCAAGTTAATACCGAAGGGCACATTGGTAGTTTGATGGAAAGGTGAGGGCTTTTCATTTGCTAGAAACGCTATATATTGTTCTATCGGCAACAACTAGGGTTTTCCGAGTGGGAGGTGGAATCTGCGCAGTAGGCCGAGACTCGCGGAGCTGCAACCATGGTAGAAAAGACGGCAAAGGGGAGAAAGGAGGAGGTCGTTACCAGAGAGTACACCATCAACCTCCACAAGCGCTTGCATGGATGGTAACTTTCATTTGCATCTCTTTGCTTGCTCATAACTTACTGTGATCCCACCGGATTCGTTTGAAATTTTTGTTCCAAAATTTGGAGCCAGAGTTTAAGTTAATTGGAATGAGTTTTGGGGTCCTTTTTCCTCTTGTTCTCGGTGGCATGTAGCTTTTACAGTCTTAAATTCTCTAGCGTTGTCCGCAAATTCCCAATACATGTATTTATGATGTAGCGAGCCTACGTAGTCTATCGTTCTCCCCTTGTGTGATTCGTCCTTACCTTAAAAATTTTATAGATCTTAACATTATGCAATGTGGGAGGATGAAGTTTGTTTAATTGCATCATTTCGTATTATTTTCCTTCCGTTTCGTCTAATATTTCTGAGTCTGAAAGAAATTTCAAAGCATGTGTTGATCACTTTGACTTCTAATAAGGCACTTGGCTTCTTGTATGCCTAACAACCCTAGTGAATTATGAGCTCGAACCTGGAATAATGGGAAATACTTCAAATGTAGTTCATTCCTCGAGTTGCAATTCAGCTGCTAGAATGATCCTAGAGACAAGTATGGTTTTTCTGTCTGTGGCTGTCTTTGGCAAGTAGGATGAACTGATGTGGCATTATAGCAATCTATTGTAAGTGTGCAGTGCGTGTCTTCTAAACATTAAATAGATTGCTTCCTGTTCGTGCTAATGTATTATTTTGCTTTCTTGATTCTAATGTAAATGATAGCAACATTACTTCCTGTTTATGCTGGGGAGTTATTATGTGTCATTCGTCTTGGTGTTAGTTTTGCCGGAGTAATTTGCCCCCATTACCCCATGTCCTTGGATGATTGGGCCTTTTGCAACATGAGCTTTAGACTGACATATAACATGAGCAGTTCTAAATAGTTCACTTTGTTTACATTCCTTCCTTGCTGACATTGATATGTCAATCAAATTCTTCAGTTAAATTTTGATACGTTGATATGTCAATCAAATTCTTCAGTTAAATTTTGATACGTTTTTGTTAGCTTCAGGGGAAAGGTCATTGTGGAGAAGAATTTATTTGTAAACCTACTAATTGCAAGTCCTGAATGTTGTTCTTTTCTGTGTCTAATGCGTTATTTTCTTCCCTCCAATTGCATGCAGCACATTCAAAAAGAAGGCTCCAAAGGCAATAAAGGAAATTAGGAAGTTTGCTCAGAAGGCTATGGGAACAACCGATGTGAGGGTGGATGTCAAGCTTAACAAGCATGTCTGGAGTGGTGGAATCCGCAGTGTCCCAAGGAGAATTCGTGTCCGCGTAGCCCGAAAGAGAAATGATGAAGAAGATGCCAAGGAAGAGTTCTACTCATTAGTCACTGTTGTAGACATCCCAAGAGAAGAATTGAAAGGTTTGGGCACGAAGCTGATTGATGAAGAGGATTAATCTATCCAGCCCTTTTAGATGATAGTTACTTTCTCTATTTTTGGCTGTGTTTTTATTTAATTGCTGAGGTACATTTGACTGCTTTGAATACACCTTTGTTACCTGCGACGACGGGATTATGGAATTTTGTTGGGATTTTACTATTGCAGAGCGTTCAAGTTCCACATTTCCTATGCTTATGTTTTATCAATTGCGTTTTCGATGTTGCACCTATAGGCGAATTGTTTTCCCCATGACGTATGAAGGATTTATTCTTGGATCTCTCTGTCCTCTAAATTAGTGGTGTTGGTTGCGAACATAGGAAAGTGCATGCTACTTGTAAGTCATATCGACCTGATTCCCGAACTAAAAATCACCACGTCGGTTAATGTCGGGGGAAATTCATATCTTCGGTTGTTTAATTATATTTTTTGACTACTCTTATTTCAATTATGAATTTTAGATTATCTAGATTACAATTGAATTAGTCATTTAATAAATTTTGATTATTTTAATATATGTGATTTTGGAGTACCAAAGAATGATTGTCCAGCGAACAATCAGAAAATTAATAGTAGTTATGTCTGAATTTAAAGGCAAATTGTTAAATATATGACATTTAGTTGTCCATAATGTAACAAACTCGTAATCAAATAATAAACGGATGGAGGAAGAATTGAAAAAGGGGGTAAATTTAGATAAATCACTAGACATATTTGTGAAAAGGGAGTTATTTATTGTAAGGAAATTGTTTATTTAGTACTTACTTTTAAATCTCATCACCCCATACGCAATGAAATAAAGAATCGTCGTCGTCATCATCGTCAAGAAACTTTGTAAGAGCTACATAATTTATATCTAAAGTTGAATTTTGAAATGGAGATTAAAGGCTATGTATTTGTTGAAATGATGGTCGATGGTTAGTTAAAAATATTTACATTGAACAGGGTCAAAACTTTGCGTGGGAGCAGAACAATGGCAAAAGGGCAGGATACTGGAGTGCTAAATAGATTGAACATGTCAACTAAGCAGTCCCTTGCATTACAAGACTCTCAATTTTGTTACTCAAACAACCTCAAGGGAAAAACTTTCATCCGCATTAAGGAGTTCAGAATCTTTCCCATAAGGTAAAGGGACACTCAGATGTGATCCAACTGCTTTCAGAGGATGAGGTTTCTGCAGAATCTGTTGCTGCAACATTTGTGTTCCCTATGCTCATCTCCCTCTCTCTTGAACGGCTCCCAAATCTCAACAATTTCTGTCCGGAATGATGGATCGCACTTGCGTCCAAATGGCCTCTATGCTCCCATGAACAGGTTTCCGACATAATAACTCAGAAATTTGCCCATTCGGATTGCTGAATAAGTTTCCAAATTTTGAGACGCTTGGTCTTGGGGGTGAGGTCCAAGGGATATTCTCAGTTGTGGCTTCACTTCAAACACTTGCAGAAGGCGAAGCATATGTGACTCAATCTCATTATTCTTCCCTGCATATTCTTCAATATCTTGAAACTTTATGAGTCAAGCCAAGGGGTTGACCAGTCCGCTGACGTCATCACCAGCTTGTGTCATTTGCTGAAATAATTTGTTAGTAGCGCGCGAAATTCAACCGTTAGAGGTTGGTAGCTTATTCCTGAGATCCATACCATGGCTTATGAATTTTCGGTCCTTTCTTCTCTTCCGCAATGAATAATAAATCATGCGAACACCCAAGAAGATAAATAGTTCTGCTTTTTCTGGAATTTCTCTTCAATTTCACACCGTTTCGCGACGAGAATCTCTTCTTACGAGTCTGCTGGTTGCGTTGAATTCTTCACATTCTGTCTCCTGCTGCAGGGCGATTCATGCTCGAGTGCTCAAATCTTTGAATTACAGAGATGGTTTTATTGGGGATCAGTTGGTATCTGGTTACATTAGTCTGGGGTTCGCAGATGACGCAGAAAAGCTGTTTGATGAATTCCCCCACAGAGACCTGATCTCCTGGAATTCTTTAATTTCTGGGTTTTCAAAAAGAAGGGACCTTGGTAAGTGCATGAATGTATTTCTTAGGTTGAAATCTGAACTTACACTGGATATGAATGAGCTGACGCTTATACCCGTCGTCTCAGCCTGTACTTCTGCAAAAGCCCAGCATGAAGGTCGGTATCTTCATGGTAATGCAGTAAAATTGGGCATGAAGTTGGAATCCAAGGTCGCTAATTCCCTGGTAAATATGTATGGCAAGTTTGGGTGTCTTGATTCTGCTTTCAGGCTATTTTGGGAAATGCCAGAACGAAATCTGGTATCATGGAATTCAATGGTGGCTATCTGTACCCAAAACGGGATCCCTGAAGAAGCTCTTCAATACTTTAATATGATGAGGCACAATGGACTTTTGCCTGACGAGGCAACAATTGTCGCCTTGCTTCAAGCTTGCGAAAACTTGCCTATGGGGAAATTACTAGAGGCCATTCATGGTGTAACCTTCACCTGCGGTCTGAGTGAAAATGTTACAATTGCAACCTCGCTATTACTCTTGTACTCAAAGTTAGGGAGATTACATGCTTCTCATAAGGTGTTTACGGAGATTATTATGCCTGATAAAGTGGCTTGGAGCGCAATGATCGCGGCTTACGCGATGCACGGTCATGGAGAAACAGCAATAGAATTGTTTGAGAGGACAGTAAGGCAAGGTATGAAGCCTGATCATGTTACTTTCACCCATTTGTTGAGTGCTTGTAGCCATTCAGGGCTTATTGAGGAGGGGAAGCACTACTTCCATAGCATGTCTGATGTTTATGGCGTTCAACCCAGATTGGATCATTATTCATGTATGGTAGATCTTCTTGGCCGCCGAGGTCTGCTCAATGATGCTTATGAGCTCATTAAGAACATGCCTTTAGAGCCAAATGCTGGAGTCTGGGGTGCTCTTCTTGGTGCTTGTAGGGTTTACCGTAATACTGACCTGGGGAAAGAAGCTGCGGAGAAAATGATTGAATTAGATCCATTAGATTCTAGAAACTACATTATGCTTTCAAATATTTACTCAGCTGCGGGTTTATGGGATGATGCATCAAAATTGAGGGCTTCAATGAAGGCTAAAGGTCTGATCAGAAGCCCTGGCATCAGTTTTATTGAGCATGGGAAGAAAATCCATCGTTTTGTGGTGGATGATTATTCTCACCCTGATGCTGACAAGATACATGAAAAGCTGGAAGACTTGATCAGAAAGATTCATGAGGCTGGCTTTTTGCCAGAAACTGAATCTGTTCTTCATAATGTTGATGAGGAAGTGAAAATGGATATGATCAACAAGCACAGTGAGAAGATTGCTCTTGCATATGGCCTTTTGGTTAAAAGCTCTGATGAGCCATTAGTAGTTATGAAGAACCTTAGAATCTGTCGTGATTGTCACAGCACTGCAAAGTTTGTCTCACGGATAGAGAAGCGTACTATCATAATCCGTGATTCAAAGAGATTTCATCAGTTTTTGGATGGATCATGTTCATGTGGTGATTATTGGTAATTTTTATGGATTTGATGGTGCTTGAATGATTCTTACAGATGGAAATGGCCATCACACAACAGTAGCTGAACAGATGACTTGGCATTCACATGTTTTCATTTCCATGTTCATAGCAAGTAACCTGCAGTTCAATCTTCTGACCCAGATAGGCCTCCCATCCTCCTTTTCTTTTGCAGGTTGCTTACCCAATACACATTGGAAGGCAACTGAACTGTCTTAGACCAAAAGATATTCTCTTTTTGTAAATTTAAAACAATTGGATTCATTATCAGATGCTGAGAAATTGATACTGGGAGAACAGTTAATGAAGATCATATAAACAATTCTTTGTGATAAATGAAATAAACAAGGACAAATAATGGTCATACAGAACTGGATTTTCCCCAACAACACTGAAACAAAATTATAACTAACTGAATGATTAGCTTACCAGCTAAGAACATAAACTTAGTATAGGTTACTTAACATGAATGTAAATACACGCGAGGATGTTGCAAGAATGAGAAGAGTGAAACCAGAGAGCAAGAAGGAGAAGAGAAAGCAAGAATGGGCATGTAAAATATAGAGCATGCACTGATGACTGTGGTTTCACAGGCTAGCGTTGGGAAGGAGTTGACATGAAAAATCACTCCCATGGTATTATGAAGGAGGTGTTGCTGAATTCAGATGCAAGAATATTTCACAAATAGATAAAAGTGAAATTGTTCTTAACGTGAACGATTTTACTGTTCATGCCAGGAATGATTTCAATTTTATCAAATTTTTAACATAGCAAAAAATGATTTTTGTACAATTCTTAACTTATTTATGCAGCAAATGACTTCTAATATAGAATTTCAATGAATACTTCTCATGGTGTAGCATTTAAGTATTTTTTGTTGTTGTTTATAGCATTTTGATAAGAAAAAGCCTGCCGTTAGCTTTTTTATCTTCTTTTTTTTATCAAAATTCTTTTGGAACTTTAGAGCCTCATTTGTTAATTTTGGTCATTGTCACTTTTTCAAGTAACTAGTTTTGGTGCTCTTTATGGGCAACCACATCCTTGGAGAAGATGGAATTTAATCCTCCACCCTGGCTTGAAGATGGAGAAGAACGAAGGAAGCTTATTGATAGAGAACTCTATGTTGTCGTAATTCTCTTTGAATGGACATATCATCTTTATTTTTTTGGTTAAAAAAGAATGTATCATCTTTATTCAAAAAACAAAACAAAAAATTTTACATTAATTTTAGGAAAACTCAAGAAATAAATTATACAATTTCTTTTATAATATATTGGTGCAAGTTTTGAGAATAAAAAGAAATTTTAAATCAATTGGACAGAATTAAGAAGACTTAGTATCACCTTTAGAAATAAAAAATTTATGCAACTTTAATAAAATAAAGATAGGATTGTGTATACGCTACCACCTTTAGTTTATAAATGTATTGACTTATTTAAGTAATTAAATTACTTATTTTTTCGTTTATTTTAAAATATGATTAAAAGGCGATGATTTTCAAATTATTTCTATACAAATTTTAACTTGCAAAAGATATGTTTAAATTATTAACAAAATATTTAGAAGTAGAAATTGAATACTATCTCCGGCTCTAATTATAAGAGCTAGTTGACTAATTTGAAAATATTAAGGAAATAAGTTAAGTTAGTTATTTATAATAAATAAGTGTTGTTTTTTCTAAAATATTCTTACTAATTAAGTATATTAGCTAGAACTATCATTGTTAGAAGGATTATCTTGAAAAAAAATACATAAATATTGAAAATAAAATAGATTGGAGTACTGTATTTAAAACCAAAATAAAAGTTAAATAAAATTATATATATATTTTTTGAGCTGAAAACAAAGTTTTATATTAATAACGGGAGGTGGTATCATGGAAAATGACCTGAAACGAATTTCATTTCATGCAGCAAATCTTCCGCGCGAAGCTATTTTCAAAGGGAGAAGCTCGCGCGCGAAGACTATAGCAGAAACCGGAAACCATGAACCCTTCCTTCTTCAAAAATTTGTTCGTTGCTGTAAACTGATCTCAATCTTCATTAATCCTTAAAGTAAGCTATCTTCGTTCTCGCTGTTCGCATTTAACTCCTCTCTGTTGTATGTGTCTGTCAATTGAAAAATGGATGCGCAGGAACTCTCTCTCAAGTCTCCGAAATTAGGGTATCCCTTTGATGGCGATGATGAGAAAGTGATTTCTGGGCTTAGTACGGTACTAGTTGCTTCGATACAAGAAGCTAAAGATAGGATTTCGCAGATAGAGTTTTTATTTTGTAGGAAGCTTTATCCCAATTTCCAGTCAAAATCTAAAGCTCTTCACAAATTTTACTCGGAGGCCAGAAAATCTCTGGAAGAGCAGTGGAAGGAGAAGGAAAATGAATTGTTAATCCAGATTGAGAAAATGAGGATTGAAAATCAACGAGTTCTGGAGGAAAATCGGCTGTTGAAGGCTGAGGAGGCCAAAGTAAAGGAGCCATTGGAGAAGGAGTTGCTAGCTAGACAGCTCAGAATTGAGGAGCTGGAAAGGGAGATCGGGAAGAAGAGTGAGGAAATTGAGGAAGGATTAGTGTTGCACAAGAATTTGGTGGATTTGGTTCAGTCAAAAGAGTCTTTGATTTTGGAAAGGGAGGGGGTACTGAACCAGTATGTTGAAAAGACCAGAGGGTCGATAGCCAAAGTGAAAGAGTTGGAGGAAGAAGTAAAGGATCTCAAGCTTGGCCTAAGAAAGAAGGACGAGAAAATGGCAGAAGAGATAAAGTTGCGGGAAACGTTACATGCTAAGAACTTGGAATTGACCTCTGAGATTGAGGGTTCTGAGAAGGAGAGGAAGCAGCTTTTGGCTCAAATAGTTGAGATGGGTGAAGAAGCTATAGGAATTCGAAAAAACCTCAGTATTAAGACACAAGAGGTCGAGGAAAAGGATGAAATGCAGAAACAATTGGTTAAACAAATAGATGTACAGAGCTCAGAACTGATGGAGAATAAGAAAAAGTTGGATGTGCATGAGAAGGAGAAACAACTTCTTCTGGAAAAAATGAGAAGTTTGGAGGAGAAATTCAATCTGCCACATAAATCGAGTACTGGAAGAGGGGAATCATCTGAAGGGGTTGATTCATATCAAAGGGTGCTTAAAGAAGTTGAGTCAATATCATCTGAGCTGCAGGCTGAGAAGAGGAAAAGGTTGCATGTCACTGATGCTTATAAAAGGCTGAAATCTCAGCACAATTACCTTCGTGAGAAGGTGGGTCTTACCTCAGAAAATATGCTGCCCCGGGACAAACTGGAAAATGAAAGTGATCTGGACAAGCATAAGGATCCAATTGTGGCATCAGGTAAGATTTGATTGTTCTACTTCCCACCAGCCAAACAAAATTCTCATGTTCCCGTTATATTCGTTTTCTTCTGATTGTTTAACTGATTCTATTAAGTAGACTTATCAGGTATTTTGGATTGGGAAAAATATGCAGTTTATTAGTCGTATGCTATCAATCTCCATCAAAATGTAACAGGTGGATAATTTTATAATTTTTGATTGCATTTTAAAAAAAAAATATTTGTTAAATTCTTATTAGAGATTTTGCTAGTAAGCCCATAAAAAACTTACCTGTGTTTAGTCGTTTGAATTATTTGTGGTTCTTGTGTAGCTTTGCAAAGCTGTATCCATAAGATGCACACCAAGGCCCAGACAGTGCGCTTTGTCTCCTAACCCTGTATTGCTTGTTATTTCAGATCTTGCGGTTCCCAGTTCAAACACCTCCACAGATAATCATAAATTAGCAAAAGTAAAGAGTGAAAATTTAGAGGATGACTTAGGAGGTAATCACATTTTCTATTGATATTATTAGTTGCTCGAAAATGCACATCATCTAAAATGTTTGCTCTAGAGTGGATCTCATTCCATCTTGTCTAACTGGGTTACATGCATAAATTCAGTTGCCTAAATCTTTGGTTGATATTTTGAATGTGCACATCTTAGGCTCATCTTTCATCATGTGCTTTCATTTATAGCAGGTCTTGAAAACAAAACCCCTGATATCTTTGTTGCTGGATGCGATCTGAACGAAGTAAAGGAAGAAATAGTCGAGGATGACAGAGGAATCAAAACCATTCCTCGTTCTTCTAGTTTACATCGTGGCCCAAAATACCCCACCAACACAAAATTGACCTCTCCATCTAGCACAAAGCGGCCTGCATCTTCTTGGAGACAAACCCGGTCTCGCCAAAGTCGAGTAGGTAATGACCCACATGATGATTTTCTCGATACTCCTCTTGAGAACATCAGAGCAAATTTAAATAGAGGTTCAAATAAGGAAGACCAGCCAGAGCCAGTACAGAGAGACGTTAGCATGAGCAGCTCAGATGATGAAACACAGGATATGAATGCCAAAAGCAGTCCCCCAAGCAAGCAACCTTCAGTTCCGAATGCGAGCAAGAAGAGTTTTAAGTACATTGAACCAGTGAGGAAGAAAGCTGAGCGAGAAAAGTTGAAGGGAATTGAATGCAAACAATGCAAGAAATTCTATGATGCTGTTCTTCCAAGTGACGAGAGTAAGGATCCTGATAGTAGTAGGCGGAATTTTCGATGTGAACATCTTGATGGTGTTTCCAGGCATCGTTATAGATATGCTCCTCCTATGACTCCAGAAGGATTTTGGAATATTGGGTTTGAATCCGAATTATAAACAAACTGTCCCGCACATTACTATCATTATATTGCCATTTCAATTTTCCAACTTTAAAAGTTAGCTTCCTTCAACCAGTTTTTGTTGGTGGGAGTTCTTGTGCCTGAGGAAAAATGTCCTGTCAGAAATTTTAAACTAAAAATGCGTATGTGTTTGCAGCGTTCTGCTCACATGCTCTTTGTTACTTTAGATTCATCAATAAAATAAAAAGTTTCACCTGTCATTTATTTTGTGGACTAGGTAGAAAACTGGTTAAAAGTACCTGATTAGGAAATAAATTGTGCAAAAGTACTTCAAACTTGTTTAAGAATTCATGTGCAATATATTTTTAATGGGTGCAATTTTTCTTCAGCTATATAAATGATATTTACACATAACTGAAAAGATGTTGCATACTTAAAAAATATGGGCTCTTTGGTGCCTTTGTACAATTAATTTTTTAATATGGAACTCTTGACCAATTTTTTCTGATAACTATTCCCTATTTTCGTTCACTAATGCAAAATCTTCATACAACTTTCGCTTCATAATATTCCATACAAAGCCGCTTGTATGGAGTATCTTGGTTTCTAATTATTCTAACAATTGTTTTCTGTGTCTGGGCTCTGAGCCTAAATTAATTCAAATTGGTGTTCAATTAAGAACCAGAAAGGCACGTGGTTATGGATGCCTGAAACAGAATAACTCTCTTCAAATAATAATTGTGAGGGTTCGCTTAACTTTTTTGCATTCATCTTATGCTTTCCTTCAACATTCTTCTTCTTCTTCTTTTTATAATTCTCCCACAGTCCCACCCACACCTCTCAACTCCAATGTTACCTTGTCAGGAATAATACATTTCCTGACCCCCAAAAAATATGAATACATGTTTTAGAAGATGTGTGTGTGTGTGTGTTTTTTAATAGAATTATCAAATAACATTGTTATTCTTATGGGACAATGTCAAAAAAAGAAGTTGGAATTTTGTAAGTGCCAAACAAGGAATGTCAACAAAAATTTGTTGCCATTTGTAAATTCAGATTTGTTAATACCAAATAAAATTGTGTTACCAAACTTGATTTGGGATTTGCAATTTCCAGCTTCTTTTTCTATTATTCTCTCTGTTCTTATTTATTCATTAAGTAGGAACGCATGATGTTACTCAAGAAGAATCCAGTCTCTTCCATTCAATTTGGCAAGCAATGGTCATTAGCACCCTGTAACTTACAAAGGTAAGAATATACTTATACTCTTCCTGCCCTTAACATATGAACTAATTAGGGAGTTGATACCAGTCCTATATATAAGACATAATTAAAAAATTTGAGTAGATTAAAGAAGTAAGTTAAATTAGTTAATATGATATATTTTTTCTAAAATTCTAACAATTAATTCGTTTGATGGATATTATTTGCTTCTTATTGACTTGATTTAAATTCTTGTAATTAAATATTCTGAAACTATGTCCTTAAGTAAAAAGGAGAAAGTATCCGAGGGAGGTATAAATATAGGTGCAGAGCATCATCACATGTAGAGAGCCAGAGCAGAGAGTACCGATTTGAATGGGGATGTCAGTGAGGCAGGGGACCATGCCCACATGATTTAATTCCATTCAATTCAATGCAAATAATAATAAAAGGCAGCCTGTTAGGTTGGCTCCTTTAATACCTCCTTTTACTATTTTTCTCCCCTCTCACAGCTTTTTCACTCTCCATAAATTTTCTTTTTCACTCTTGTTATTCGTTAATGTCTCAAATTCGTATTTGGCTGATTTTCTCTTTGCTACACATTCTCAAATAGTAGACTAAATTTTAAATGACTCATGTTTAATAATTTTTTTAAAAAAGCTATTATTATAACATAAAATTATAAATAAATAAGTTCAAACTATTAAAACTTCATCTAAACAATTTTTAAAAAAAATGTATCTGGCTTTGATATGAGGCACTTGTTTGCTGGCTCAATATCCTATGGGGTGCCTTTGCCGTCATAGGCACTTATGGAGATCATTTAATTTCACTCTTTGTTGTGTTTTCCATATTTGTATATGGTTGAATTGGTGTAACATTTTTAGTTTGGATTATGAACTTACCATCGCTTAGGTTTTTCTGGTTAGTGTTTTGTTCTAGCATTGTTAAAGGGCAGGCCTATATTACCATGTATCGTTCTATTTAGTTGAAATAAGTTGTTTGTTAATTGAAAAACAAATATATATATATATATATATATATAAAGGATTCACAACATAAATCACTTCTATAAAAGATTTTAACCCACAACATAAATTTTTTTTGGAGAGTAATTAATGTTTACTTGTCAAATATGTATTATTTACCATGATTAATTGGATTATCTCATGTTCCAAGTAAAGCAAGGTGCATTATCTAATCTAATTTTAAGTGAATAGTAAAATTAAACTATCATGGAAAAAAAAAATCAAAATATCAAGATTCAAGCCTCCATACGTTCCCAATAAAGTAGCAACACTCACGTGTTATGCAAATAGTAAAGGAAAACCCAATAAAATAAAAAGCTTTATCCAATTTCTTGACCTATGCTCACAGATTACCCACCTTTAGTTAACTTGCCCATTATTTCAACATCTTTCAAAATATTTCATTGTGAAGTTTTTTTTGACCAAATTTCATTGTGAAGTTAACAACTTAAGAATGACAATAATATACACACTAATACACCAACAGACTTGCGTGTCTCCCTTCCTCCTCTTTCTTAAGTCCACTTTAAGACTATATTTAGATGGAGGAAAAATTAAGAGGAAAATAGAAAGAAATAATACTAAAAAAAACTCCCCAAAATGGTATATTTTTTATTATTGAGAAAAATTTTACTATTTTGAGAAATTTCCCTCTAGTATTCTTTTTTCTTAATTTTTTTCCCATCCACAAAAAATGCAAAATATTTTATACTGGGTAACATATCAGCCCTAACTTCCAGATATATCACACATTACATATTATGTATTAATATAACAAAAATCAAACACAGATACGCTTGACCGTGACTTGCTTGTGAGAATCAACCAGATAGGTGACTTTCCGGGTCGGGTCACTTGTTAGCAAGTCTTCAAGGGATTCCCACACAAGCAGTCGTTGTTAGCGAAGGAGGAAGCTTCAAGGTGATCAAACGGAGACCCGACGGGTATGGATCCACACAGGTGGTTGTTGCTTAGGTCCAGGTGGCCGATATACTTGGCCGATGATAGCGAACTGGGTATCGGACCTTTCAAGTTGTTATGGGATAAGTCCAACACCATGAAGTATGATTTTGACCCGAACACGTTCGGAATTTGCCCTTCCAACCCGTTTCGGCTCAGGTTCAGGATGCCCATACCCGAGTTGCCCAGCAGATTTGGAGGGATTTGACCTGACAGAGAGTTGCTGTCCAGGTTGAGTGTCGAAAGAACCGGCATTGAACCGAGTTCGCTGTGGATTGAACCGCTCAGGCGGTTCATGGACAAATCCAAGTCCGCGAGCCGGTTCATCGAAGAGATGGACGTCGGGATCGAGCCGGTGAGTTGGTTTTTGTTCAGCAGCGCACGGCTGAGCATACTGAGTTTGCAGAAATCGGTGGGAAGTTCGCCAGTGAGCTGATTGTTGCTGAGATCGAGGTGCATGAGTGATGCGAGGTTCACAATGGAGGGCGGGATCCTACCTGATATGGCATTGTCGGCCAGGTTCAACACAGTCAGCCGCTGCAAGCTCCCGATTCCAGCAGGAATCTCACCGGAGATGTGGTTACCGATGAGGTCGAGGACGCGGAGAGAGGAGAGGGAGACAATGCAGTCGGGAATCTCACCGGAGATGGCCTTCCAGTCAGCAACAACAAGGTTGGTGAGGTGATCGAGCTTGCAAATCTCCGGCGAGATGGTGCCAGTCATGTAGCCAGAGCGACCAGCTTTCACAAATATCGGGTCCTCCGACTCGCCACGGAGGTTGATGTCGGCGACGCGGGCGGTGGAGGGGTCGCAACTGACGCCGTACCAGTTGAGACAGCAGTTTGTACCGGTCCAGGAGTTGAAGATACCTAAGTAGGGTTCGGTGAGTGCGGCCTTGAAGGCTAACAGTGCCGCCCGGTCAGACGGAGGGCAAGAGTGAACGGAAAAAGCAACGGCAAGAATGAGAGTTACCAGAAACAGAAAGGAAGCCATCAGTGTCTCTCTCTGTAGAGGGAACTGATGAGAGAGAGAGAGAACGGAGGGAGAGAGTACTGGATAGTTGTCTCTGAGAGTGAGAAGCGATAGCGAGTGCATGAATATCTGAAGAAGGTGAGGATGCTTATAAGGAAGAGTATAAGTATAACCATAGCTTCGTTTGCTAGGCAATAGGCCAATAGCATACGTGTTCATTGACGGAAATACCCCTAGTAAATGCATAAAATTACAATGTCATTCAGTGCTTTGCTGGAGCTTTTCACTCCCATGCTCCATTTTCTTTTGTGGGGTTTAGGAATAATAATGACAAAATGATAAAAACAAAATTAGGGAGCGAAATTCCCAGACGAAATGGAAACGTTTGCTTGTAAAGTTGTAATAACTTGCTGGGAATCTTTTTCTGTACTTTTCCTTGGTTTATTTTAGGATAAATCCTAAGAAAAATATATTTAAAATTTTAAAATTCTAAATTAGAAATGATTAGAAAGATGTGTTGTTATTTATTTTTTAAATATTATCAATTGTTATTAGAGTGTAATAAATAGAAAATAAGATAGACCAAGATATTATATTTAAGATCAAATTCAATCGTTTAACTAATTCTTATATTAGAGACTAGAGGTGATTTAAAATTTATGAGAGATATTATTTGTAAAATATTAAAAAATGCGGGCTTTTTGTCATGACAATGTGGTTGATTTTAAGTTTTATGTAAATACATTTATATGAGCATAGGTAACAAAAAAAGTTACTTGACAAACGCCAAATTTCGTCCGCCTTAGAAATATTAGCTTATTGTACTCTTTTTTTCCTTTTTTTTTTTGCTAAACATAAGTATCCTCTTATTTAGAGTAATCCTATTCGATATATTGTTTAGCACTAATGAAATAAGGGTATGTCTTCCACCAAGAGCTTATTGAATTCTTTTTATTTATTCATATCTTTTTTCTGCCATTTTTTATTTATTAATATCATTGTGCGTTATTATTAAAAAAAAAAAAGTTTGAGAGTAACGAAATTGAGTATGAAGCTCAGAGCGGAAGGTAAAAGG